AATTTTAAGTGTTTCTAACTTCAGGAGAAAAAAAATTTCAAAATATAATTTGAAGGCTCTAACGCTAATCCGTAGTTTCCCACAACCTGGAATCATTCTTAACTTTCCTTGCTTTCTGGTCAAGTTATTTCTATCACAACAATTTACTCATCTAAGATCGCAATGGAAATGTTTAAACTTGAGTTTTAATCAGCAGATTACAGAACTGATCCTCCAGGCCGGTTCTCCTTAGTCAGACTGCAGTGTCTATGTGGTTTTTAGTGAGCCTGTCTTTGTTTTCATTTCCATAAAGTTCCGTGTGTGTGTGTGTGTGTGTGTGTGTGTGTGTGTGAAGTTCATTGTCTAGATCAGCTCTTCTCAGCTCTGAAATGTTGCAACTCTGTGTAATTAGTCTTAGCCCTATGACACAGTGCTCATGAAGTTAGTCTTAAATTCAAGAGCTGGTTTTTGTACACCTAATTCGTTTTGGGTAGCAAAAGCACCAAGCAGGAATCTGTTGTTAAAAGGTCCAGGGGGCAGGGTAGTAGACTAAGGTTTAATTCAAAATCTTTTAAGAAAAGGAATGGGCTGCTTTTTTGAAACAGGTCGTGCAGTTACTCAATTGCAATTGTGTTGTTTTTTGTTTGTCTGTTTTCTCTTTACTCTTTGGGGAACCCGTCACCTAGCTCCCAAATAATCACACAGAGATTTATTTATTCTTTCTTACAAATGCCTGACCTTAGCTTGACTTGTTTCTAGACAGATTTTCTTACCTTAAATTATCCTATGTATCCTTTGCCTTTGACTTTTACCTTTCTAAATGCTTTTCTTTACTTCTTATTTCATGGCTTGCTGCGTAGCTAGGTGTCTGGCCCCTAGTCCTCCTCATCTCTTTTTATTACCCCTTGATGGTCTCTTCTTAGATTTCTCCTATTTATTCTCTCTGCCTGCCTGTCTGCCTATCCTTTATCCTGCCTAACCATTTGTAAAACACCAATCAGGTGTTTTACACAGACACAGTTACACAGCTTCACAGAGTTAAACAAATGCAACACAAAGAAATGCATCACATCTTTGCATCACTAAGCAAACAGCATAAACAAATGGAACACATCTTAAACTAGTAGTCTCCAACAATTGATGGTGGTGTGATTTGTAGCCAAAATGGAGGAAGAAAGGAACTAAGGAATTCCTGCATCCCCAGCATCCCCAGCATCCTCCTCAATCCTACCACGTCTCTGAGTCAGCATTGCATCACCTAAGCTGACCCTACCTCTGGAAGGCAAAGTTTGAGTAACAGAGCCAGCTGCCTCATTAAACCCAACAGTTTTGCACTGAAGAAACTAATCTATTCTATTATCCAGGAAGGCGTCATAACAGTCCGCTAGCATCCTGGGAATGTTCCTGGTTTTCTAATGAAAGATGAAAAAAACCCACTCTCCCTTTCACCCCTTAGCTGCAATGTAGCTATGATATCTGAGGCATTGATCTTCTTTTGGTATCCACCATCTAATTCTCCTTTTATATTTGAAGAACTTAGCACCAACTAGAACCTTCCATCCCCTACAGATATGAAAAGTATCCACTATTTTCCCAGACATTCTTGTAACTAGGGCAACCAGATATGTGCAATCAGACCCATGGACCTTGAACTTCCCTTACTAGCTCATCATGTCTGCCTAAACATGAGCTGAACAAGTACAATACCAACAGATATGCTGAAGTGGTTGAGAGAAAACCCAGAGGACTGCAGGTGAGTAAAAAGTACTGAGAGCGGGAGAAATAATCTTCCTCAGGGAAGAGCTCACCAAGTGGATATCCAATAACAAACGGTTGACCCTGAAAACATACATACAAATAACAGTATGCTGACTGTGCGAGTTATATTTGGGAATATACATGTATATTTTGTTACATGTAGCAAAACAATTAATGGAAACAAGAAACCATGAATTTGAAAGGCAGAAAGGAAGAGTATATGGGAAGGTTCTGGAGAGAGGAAGGGAAAGGGAGAAATTTTATGATTATAGTCTCAAAAAATAATAGAAAAGTTGGGCTTTTTGTTTGTTTAAAGAAGCTAATCACCAAAAATATAATGCAATATGCAACACATTCTGGAAGAGGTGTCTGTGGAGGCCCAAGGCATCAGATCCCTTAGATCTGGAGTAAGAAATGGTTGTAAGTCACAGATGTGGATGCCTTGAATCAAATTCTGGTCCCCTGCAATAGCAGTAAGCACCCCTAATTGATGAGTAATCTCTTAAGCACCCAATAAAAATTGGAACATGGACTTTATACCAAAAATAAAATCTTGTGTCATAGCAAGATAAACACATAAGGTGACTCCTTGGTCTCTCTAAAGAAAGTGTTACTTGCCACAGAAGGATTTAATGAATGGGAAACCTTCGAGGGGGCTCAGGGGGCTTTCCCACCTTGCTGTGTATGGCTAGAATCAGAGCTTACCAGAATTCTATAACTAAGGATGGAGAATGTATTATCCACAAAGGGTGTGTCAAGATTTAAAATGTCTAATAGAAACTGTTAATTTCTAATAGTAACAACTAACTTCTAATAGTAACATATATATGTGTGTATATGTGGTGAGATTTTTCTGAAATTGTAATATTTTAATAAAAATTATAAAGCTGAATTTACGATGAATACTCATTGTTTTAGCAATGTTATTTTTCATCTAAATCTAAACAATTCATTATTTGAATAGCTAGAAAATGCTTAGTGATTTGTTTTTAACATGTGTTCCTGTGATACATGCATGTGTTTGTTTGTATGTGTGCACATGTGCACATGAAGGCTAGAGATGGATGTCAGGGGTCTTCTTCAGTTGCTCCCCACCTTAATTTTTGAGAAAGGGTATCTCATTCAACCTGGAGTTCACTGATTCAGGAGGGCCAATTGGTCACCGAGTTCCAAAAATAATCCTTCTCAGTTCTTGGATTGCAAACACACACCAATGGTCAGGCAATGGTGACACACACCCAGCACTTGGGAGACAGAGACAGGCAGACCTCAGTGAATCTGAAGCCAGCCTGTACTACAAAGCAAGTTCCTGAACAGTCAGGGCACATAGAGAAATCCTGTTTCTACAAAAACAAAACAAAAACAAAAAACACTTACACACACATTGCACCCAGAGTCTCATTCTTCTGCTATACACACTTTGTGCATCAAGTCATCTCCTCTTCACCCCAGGTTGATTTTCTTTAAATGGGGAATAAGTGCACAAGTTTCTGGTTATATAAATTATCCTTACATTGTATGTTTTAATTTGTGCCTTTAAGGTATAGTCTCAGATTATTAAAAGAAAAAATAAACCAAAAGTCAAATAATTCATCCAACTACAGCTTGCTGGCACTTGGATGACTTTGTTAATAATTTTTGGAAATGGAATATTAAAACAATCTCTTGGCCAAATTGAGACAAGTCTGTGTCAAAGTTTTATTTTGAATTTTCCTTAGAAGAAAAAGGCAGCCAATTCAAAGATGTTCCTTCTGTTGAAGATATTTATAGAAAAGCAAAAACTGACAGTTTATTTAAAAAGTTCCAAATTTTGGAAATCAGAAAGAACACTTAAGATTTCTGAGCCTTGGAGTAGAGCAGGAAAGGTTGGTGGGACGCAAAGATTGGGTCTTCGGGGACATTATCTTATAAAGGAACATCAACCGGGCACACACTGTGCTCCCGCAGGTCTTCTGTCCAGTAAAAATGGAAGTGATCTCTGCCTGACACATTAGGTCATTACAAACATTTTACTGTCATGGAAACATCACCCAGCTTGATGCTGGCATTACACATTGATGAAAATACTTGGAAATCCCTGTAATTCTTACCCTGCCTGGATCTTCATTCACTGTTAAAAGTCATTCGTGTGTTATTTCATGCTTATAAAAATATGATGTTTTAAAAATTGTTACATTATTATATACATTATAATGATGCAATATAAAACATGTCTAGTGGCGTTAGAGACTCCAAAGGCTGAAGTCAGCTAGGAAGGTGTCAGGTACACACAACTTTTCAAAAAGATTTCCTAACCTTTGTCAAGGGTACCAGAATCCAAAACTGAGTTACACATTCTATCTTCAGGGAACTTCTGTTCCAGCCACAACAACATACACATGGGCCAGTGGAATAAAATAGACCAACATGACTGCAGTTGTGCAATGGTTTACTAAGATGCCAAGTATATACATTAGAAAAGAATACAGTCTCTTCATCAAATGGTGCTGGAAAATTTGTGTATCCACATGTAAAAGGGTGAAACTAGATCCCTATCACCAACCCTGTACAAAAAAATCAAATATTGTAATGAAAGATCTAAAATTTAGAAAACATTATTCCAGGCAGTGGTGGCACATGCCTTTAATCCCAGGACCCCAGAGGCAGAGACAGGTGGATCTCTGAGTTCAAGTCCATCCTGGTCTATGAGAAAGCAAATACTGGATAGGGTGCAGACAGAATGGCGCCCTTACCAAGTGCTGGTGAGAAGTTTAACTAATCCAGCTATAGTGGAAATTAATATAGGGGTTCATCAGAAGGCTAAAAATACAACTTCCATATGACCCAGTTATATCATACCTGAGTATTTCTGTAAATAGCTCCCATTCAAGGTGTCACAAAGACACTGCCTATTAATGCTTATTGAAGCGGCACTCACAAGTGTTCATTTGTGGTGGCAACCTGGTGCCCAACAACAGAAGAGTGTAAGGAAAGCATGGTGGAGGTACATAATGGAATTTTTATGCTATAAAGAATGGAGTTATCAGAAGGGAGAAATGATATAATTAGAATCTCAAAAATAAAAGGAAAAAACAACAAAGATATGTCATTCTAAGAAAACAGAGGCCGGGCAGTGGTGGCACATGCCTTTAATCCCAGCACTCGGGAGGCAGAGGCACATATCTCTGTGAGTTCGAGGCCGGGCTAGTCCGACAGCCTCGAAAACAATACAGAGAAACCCTGTCTCGTAAAACCAAAAAAGAAAAAAAAAGAAAAGAAAACAGAGGCTGCTGGAGATGATCACATTAAGTCAGTCCCAGGAAGACAAATGTACCTGTTCTCATGTGTGGTTGACTTTGTATAGACACATAAACCTGTCTGTGTATTCATATGAATGAATTACAAGCAAACTTGTATAGGGAACAAAGGGAACCAACTAGAGGGGAAAGAAGGGAGGAAGGGAGGGAGGGAGAGAGAGAGGGAGAAAGGAAGGAAGGAAGGAGATGAGGAACGTGCTCAGTGCACAATGTATGCTTGTCTGAGAGATACTTCCACACACAGCATCATATACAATGAATATATGTGTTGATTTAAAAAAAAACAACTGTTACCAGCTCTTGTTTGGGAGAGTTTTCTTTCTCAGTTGCCATTTCAAATTTCGAAAATATGTATGGCATCTACCACCACTTGACAGAAAAAACTGTAGAAACACAGTCTATCATGGGATTAAACTGGGAGAGGAATATCAGAAAGAATATGCCAGTGAATTGGGCACTTAGAAAAGTATCTCCTGCCAATAAAGAGGAAGACTTTATCCACAGTGTACATGTTTCATAGTCTAAATCATCATTGCTAAAAACTCAAGCCAGAGAGGGAAAGTGAACTTCAAAAAGCCTCATCATTGTCAAGATGTTTTATGAAAAGAAAGTAAAATCCACTCCATGTGGCTTACGGGATAAGCAGGTACAGTGAGAAACAGAAGTGCCTCAAAAAAGGGATAGGTAGGATGTCCTCGAGGCAGGCAGAGACGCCGCTGGTACTTCTCTGCCACTCAGATGAGCCTCTTCTGTGTGGCTCCCTGAAGCCCTTCATGTGCCCATGCACAAGGCAAAGGTGCTGCCCTGTGATATCCATGTTGACAAAACATTAGTTTGAGCAGCCGAAACAGATGGATGGTCAGCTGTAACCCTAAACCCTGAAGAAATAAACCTGGGTCTAGTATTCAGCTTGGCTCCATCAGCTGTGATCTGTAAAGCCAGCCACAAGGATAGCCCCACCTCTGTGTGAAGAACAGTCAGAAAAAAAACAAACAAGAGGTGGGTACTCAAAAACAGTGGTGTCCTGGCGCTCGCAGGCTGGCATTACAGACCGTCACAGACCGGGGGCTTAAGCAGCGATACTCACTTGCTCACAGGGTGTCACTGCAGTCAGTTCTGAAGAGGGCCGTCTTCATGGCTCACAGATGGCCTCAAGGTACATCTCCTCACAGTTTTCCTCAGAGCATACACACAATACATTTCTCCTCATTTTTTAAAACAAAGCCACCATCGCCAGTCCTGGCAAATTACAGCCCTATATTTGTGACCTTGCTTACCTTTAATAGCTCTCTTCAACTTCTGTCTCCAAATACAGTCACCCTGAGACCTGGAACTTCAAGGATGAATTTGGGTAAGACACAGTCCATTCAATGGCAGGTGTCTCAATGACAGGTGTCTCAATGGCAGGTGTCTTTGTTTCTTTTCTGTTTCTGTGATAAAATACCCTGACAAAAGCACTTGCGGTTTATTTTAGCTCACATTTCAAAGTATGCCAACCATTATGGCAAGGAAGTTTAACCATCAGGAACTTGAAGTGACTGGCACATTGTGTCCCCAGTCAGAAGGAAACAGTAATGAATGCATGCATGTTGTTCGATTCCCTTTCTTCATTTACGCAAATGCAGGGTCCCAGGCAGGGAACGGTGCCACCCACAGTAGACAGGTCTGTCCGTGTCGGTTAGTGTATCAAGATCATTCCTGACAAATACACCCAGAGCCCTATCTCCCAGGCAATTCTAGATCATGTCTAGAATTAATAATAAAGACCAAAGCAGGTGTCTAGTGCAAGCCAAAGGGGTTACTGTGGGGATATAGAAACTCTCCCTTCTGCCTTCCAACCTCTGCTTCCTGCTGCAAGGTTTTTGTTCATTCATCCATCAATTAGCCAGCACCAGGCACTGCACATGGAAGAAAAATCAGTGAGATACAATCTCTGCCCTTATGGGTGCCCTTAGCTAAAGAGGAGGGAGATGGGAACGTACAAAGAAACAATGCAACACTGTGACATCAGAGGCCTCTGTGTGACATTTCCTGGGTTCATGGGACTAAAGGCCAACAAATATGCCAGGGACCAGAGACATGCCACAGAGGCCTTTCCTCACAATGAGTTAAGACCAAATTCCCAGACCACATTTCTTCAGTGCCCTTGATGATTCAGTCTTGTCAAAAGTTTTGGTTTTGTTTTTCTTTCTTTCTCCCTGCCTTCCTTCCTTTCTTTCTTCTAGGAAAATTGAAACCTCTCTTCACCCCATCAACACTGATTGTATTCAATTTGACTGTGTAAGAAGGAGCACTTGTAAATCCCACTGATCTTTGTGAGCAAGTTAACTATTTTAGGCTATGGAACATGTCTCTTCTCCTTAAGTCCAAACATGCCTACACCTCAAATTTCTCAATCCATCAGTCCTTGGCAGAAAATTCAACTGCCATGATGTCATTATCCCAAACTGTCAGATCAAGAGGCACAAGGACAATCTGAGAGAAAAAAAAGTTTAAGTAATTTAATTATCAGGTTAGAATTTGAGGGATACTTAAACAATACATAAAGACTTAAAATACTAGTTTATTTTAATACAATTTTCCAAAATTAAATTAATCTTGGACCCATGAGATGGTTTGGTGGGTAAAAACACTTACTGTCAAGACTGATGACCTGAGTTCAAAGCCAAAATTCACTGTGGAAAGAAAGACCAGCCTCCTGAGTGTCCTCCTTTGACCGACACACACACACTGTGGCATGTGAAAACTTATATTGGTTTCATCTTATGATACCCATCACTATTCCTGATGAGACAAACAAACACAGTTCATCCTCTTGGTTTTGTGTGCCAGGCTAAGAAGAGCCGGAACAGGTCACTGGGAAATGCTTTCCTCCTGGGGTGCCTCTGTAAAGCCACCGTTTTCAGATTAACACAGGACAGATCATCTCAAGCTGTACAAAGTCCCATAATTACAATGCCCAAGAACTAGGCCTTCATGAAAACACCAGCAGGAGGTGGGCTCAAGTGTATCCTTCCCTGGTTTAGAAAGAAGGGATTTTGCTAAGTAAACAAATGGTGTCTACAACATTTAGTTAAACAGAGAAAATTTAGCTTGTTGAATCCTTCTGTAAGTAATTATGTTTTCCAAATATTTGCACACACCCCAGAGGACTATGTATTCATAAATCATTGATAAGGTAATTGGAAAGCATTCTTATGTATTCATCAAGTGAGGATCCCTGTGGGCTCCTGCTAAGCAGAGATTTACTCTCCTGGGTGGATTGCTGTATTTATTTAAAAGTAATAAACATTGTACCTCTTTTCTTAACAAGCTGAAGTTTCTTCCCCTGGATTACTGATAAATACATATATGTATATATGTGTATATATATACATTTAAATATTTTAAGATTTCTTTTCATTATCTGACCCCTTCTTGCTTCTCCCCTGGAATTTTTCAAGAGTGATGACAGTGGGAACCCCTCACAGCTAACAGAGCCTGCTGTCACATCATCTTACAGGTTAAACTCCAGCCGCCAAGCCTCCGTTGCTTGTTCTAGGTGGCTTCATCATGTAGGATCCACATCAGAGTGAAGGAAGAAGAAGGCCAGGGGACCCATGGCGATGACATTCATCTCGGCCCCTATTTCACACTAATCTCGCCTTTCCCTGATCATGTCTGAAAAAGGGTAGATAAGGGAATGTTTTTTTGTTGTTGTTGTTGTTGTTAGATATCCTTACTAATTTCACTTTCATTCTCTGGCATGTCGTGAGTAAATCATTTATAAGTTACATCATTGTTTAGGAAAACTCACTGCCAACAACCACACACACCATGCTCTTTCCCATTTCAAAATGTTCATTTCCCTTCCTCCAAGTCACTGAAAAGGTGATTGTGAATATTTTGTTACAGACATAGTCAATAGTAAGAGTAAAATCTTGGGGAAGTTGCAGACTTGGTTCAAGCTAATGAACACAATGATTATATTTTACTCTTTTCTGGAATTTATTAAATGTGTGTTTAAAGCATTTTAAAGAAACATGACTCCATGTCTATAAATAACAATTTTGCTAACACAAAATGGCACATGTTCCCTACAATGTGGCATCCTATACCTTCTGGATTACATGAGCAGAAGGTACTACAAGGTGCCAGGTTCTCAATTTACTGCGGATGGTTTCCATTGGCTTAAAGCTGAGCCACGATTGGGGGATGTAATGAAGAGGTTAATGTTCACGCTGCTTTGAGTGTGCATATTTTAACAAGATGTGGTTTAAAACTCTGAGGAGCACAGATGGTCAATCAAGTAGAGAACTGTGATGGATGGAAGATCATATCAGAATGCAGAGCCCAGTTATAAAATCAAAGAGCAGTTGGATTAGCACTCACCATATTGTTGCTTTGCTCACTCTGCAACCAAAAGTTAACCACAGATGACATCGCCATTCAACAACACATCCCTCGAGGTTGGGAGGACTCATCTCTGCATTCTTTCTTCCCTTTCTTTTAAGAGTTGAAAGTGTGAGAAATCAAGCAGCCTTTTCCCATTCATGTTAGAGAATATTTCTAACACCCTTCTGCATTCAAGTTTGGCAACATGGTGTTCAGCCAATTATCGAAGCCATAGCCAGCACCTTGGAGTTACTGGCTTATCCAGTTTCCATCTTTCCTTATAACGCGGCAATACTTACTTCCAGGTTTTTTGGAGATGGATAAAGTATCACTTTTTGACAACTAGTCTGTTACAATCTCTTTACACCCACAATCAGGGAGCACAGAAGACTGGATGTAAACTACTTGTTACAGTGGAAGCTTCACCCCAGCCGCTGGCATCCATACACCCAAAGACTCTGAAATATTATGGTGGAAGTTCCACTCAAGCCCTCTCCCCTATCTCTCTCCAAACCCTGCTGCATCTCAGAAAGTCTGCCAAATGATGACCCCTCCCCCAGAGATGCTCAAGACCACTCTCACAGGGTATTTAAACTGCCTCCCAAAAAATAGACTTACGGTTTTTCCTGTCTCCTCTCTGGGTTTTGGAAAGCCTTCCAGCAGCATTGTATCCATTAAATGTGGGCTTTTTCTAATTGGGTTTGATTTGGTCTGATCTGGATTGCTGCATCGGTGGAGAGGCTTATGGGGTAGAGAACTTTTCACTGCCACCCAGTTCTTTTTCTCCATGTACATGGTTCAGGACCCTGTCCAGGGAGTGGTGCCACTCACATTGTGATGTTGTCACCACCTCAATTAGCGAAATCAACGAAACCCCCCACAGGCATGGCCAGACACCCATATCCCAGGGTCCGAGATCCTGTCAGATGAAAATTTACACAAACATCGGATATTCCCTTCTTGTGGGCACAGCTTACCTGCAGATCTTGCTCATTTCCAGACCTTGAAGTCACAAGAAGGAAAAGTACAGGAATCCCCAACCAGACCAAAAGCTCTGGTTGAGACCTGATCATCTGGCACTTTCTCCTTCTAGACATTGGGCTGCTCCCGGCAACCTTGAGTCTCACCTTGCCTTGCATAAGCCCTGATCTAATAAAGTTCGGCTTGCTATCTCAGGAACTTCAGCCCCTGGCTCTTGGATATTTACATGGGAGAAAATAGGAACTGCACATGGTCATCCATTTAACTACAAGTTAAGACATGTGAACATGTAAGTGGGTATACCTGGTACTCAGAACCCAAGGATGTGAATTTCCTACTTGGCATCTTCCAGAAATGATCTTCAAACTGTGGTGTCCACTATGGAGAGGATGAGTAAGAGTGTGAATAAGAGGATAAATTTTCTATTTCACAAGGTCAAACCTTGTGGCACTACACAATTCTACTGACTTCAGAACAAAAACCCACAACAGACCAAAGTAAGAACTGCACCAAAGTCCAACTTGGTGAAACAATGCATTTTTATTGGAGCTACTAACGAGTATAAGGGTGAGAAATTATTTACAGGAGCCAGGATGTTTCAGCAGAAAGCAGCACAGTTAATGGCTAAGAAAACTGTGGTCTGAGAGTACTCTGCATGACTCGCAGGCCACTCTACACATCCTAGGCTGTCTTCACTGCAGCTGGGTGGCAGACTCCTCCCTGGTGTTGTTTGTGCTTTTATAAAGCGGGGAGGACCTTCTGGAATCTTCTAAGTTTTCAATTTTCCAGACATTAAAGCCTCATGAGTCTTCTCATTCCACCTGAGGGAAATATTTCCATTTTTAGGGAACTACCATGTAGGTCGTAGGGTCTCCGGCTACTTCAAGTTCTTTTGCCAGAATAATACATCACTGAATTTGGGTTTTTTGCTGCTGTAACTCAGGCATCTAGATTTTAGTTTCTCATATCTAAACTCTAAATACTAAAATTACCCTTCTTAAGAACAAATAAGGGGCATTTGTTTCACTCTCTGTCTCTGCAGGCATTCCATGCTTTTTCTGGCCCATTATTCTTCTACAATTTTGGGGTGCTCTGTTCTCCTAATTCCCTTCTCTCCTGTCTCATAACAAGACATTGAAGTCACAAAAATATGGTATTTTCTTGTATATTGACTTCTTTCTAGAACTGTGTAGGAAGGACGAGGGAAATGGAGAGAGTAGGGTCTAAAGATAGATACAGAAAACCCAACACAAACTCTGTCTCTTCTACTAAACACAACACCATCACTTCTGATACTAAATGTCAGGAGGGAGGTGAGAAAATGCCTTGATTTCCAAGTTTCCCATCACACCACAACAATCAATACAGAAAGCTCCTATGACCTGTGGATATAGGAAATCCTCCTGCTAGCAAACCAGCAGTCAGTTCTGCAATGGACAGCAGTTGGCTTCTCTTGTTTCGGTTCAGTTCTTACCTCTCTACATGAAGCCAGTTCTCACCTCTCTACAGGAAGATACTCTCAGAACCCAGAGGCTGCAGCTTAGTCCCAAGACTTCCCCTCCCCACCCTGACTCCAGATGCCGGTCAGCAGTGCAAGTTCCTTCACCTGTTTCTGATTAGCCAGCAGGGTGCTGGGGTTTCCATGAGTCACTCGAGCCACTCATTGAGTTGAGTTCATTTGTTTGCATGACCCACAGAACTCCGCAGAATACTAAACTTGTCTGATCTATTTCAGAGGACACAAATAGAGACATTTGTAGGCTGAGATACAGGAGAAGGAGCAAGGAGGTTCTATGTCTTCCCCAAGCATGCCAACCTCTAGGAACCTCCCTGTATTCAGCTATCTGGCAGATCTCTTTACACCATCCTTAGCAGTTTTCATGGGAATTCACTGTTCTGTCATGATTCCTAGTAGACTGGAAAGACAGCAAAGCCTGTTGGTACAGGTCCTTTTTGGATTCTCTATGTAGCATTCTTTCCCCAGGGCATAAAGCAGTACTCCTCTGGAATGAGGAGGGTTGCATGACCTATTGTGCATCAGGAAACTTCTTCATGTACAGATTCACAAACCAAGAATGCTGTAGACATTTGGTCGCTAGTGAAATGCAGATATATAGTCACTGGGATGCTCCAAAAAATGAAAAAGACAAGTGTTTGTGTGGTGATATTTTGTTTATGCTATAACAAATAAAACTTGCCATAGAGGCCAGACAGTGGCAGCACACACCTTTCATCCCAGCAATATGGAGACAGAGGCAGATGGATCTCTGTTAGTTCAAGGCCACCCTGGGATATACGAAATTGATCTGGTCTAAAAGAGAAACAGAGCTCACACAAAGGTGATCCTAGCACTTAGGATCACAAGTCTTTAATCCCAGCACTTGGAGAAGATAGGAGTGATATGACTAGGTAGAGAGAGGAATGTAAGGTGGGAGGAGACAGAACTCTTAGCAGAAGTCAGTCTGAAGCAGTCTAGGCAGTGAGTCTGAAGATACGGTCTGAGCAGGCAGTCTGCGGATGCAGTCTGAGTGAGGACAGGATCACCCCCTTTGGTCTGAGCATTGGTAGAGTTAAGAACTCTAAGGACCTGGCCTCTCCTCTTCTCTGATCCTTCAGCCTTCACCCCCCTGATATCTGACTCTGAGTTTTTATTATTAAGACCAATTAGAATGCATGCTACATGTTTGTAAAGGCATTCACAAATTAAAGCCCTTATTTATTAATGCTGAAATTTAAAGTCAGTGCCTTCACTTTGGCAGGCAATCCAACAGTTCCTCAAAATGCTAACTGTAGAGAAACCAAGTCATGACCCAGCCCTTCTGTTCTTGATAAACGAAAATATGTTTTCATAAGAACTTAGACTCATGTTCATAGAGGCATTATTCATACCAATAAAAGGTAAAAAGAACCTAAACTGTTGAGTAACACTCCACTGTGTAGATGTATCCTATCACCAACTCTCTTGATGAATGAATAAACAGAAGTTCAGGTATGCAATAGAATAGTCTTCGTCCCTGGAAAGAAGGCATATAGTGGGCCCTGTATGGTGACTGTGTGACACTTTCTTGTGTCAGGGCAATAGGGACAATTGGGTGCTGGGTCCTCCTACTTCTTCCTCCCTCTGTTTCTCCCACAACCCATTGTAGAAAACCATGAGCCACCACATTGAGTTGGAAAGATGACTCAGTGGGTTAAAGCACTTCCCTGCACTAGCCTGACGACCTGCATTTGATCCCCGGAACTTATAAACTCGTAAATGTGACAGCTTGCATCTTTATGCTCAGCACTCCTACAGGGAGATGGGAAGTAGAGACAAAAGAACTGAGCAGAAGCCAGAGAGTTAGACAGCCTCCAGTATATGGAGCAGCACAAGCAAGAGGGATACGGCTCTAGCAAGGTGGGAGGGGAGAACCAACTCCCCAAAATGGTCCTCTGACCTCTACGTGTACACCATGCACACACCCATGCACACATCTACACACACATGTTAGCACACACACAAAGAAAAAATAAAAGAGCCACCAAACTAGCCTCCACAGGTGACAAAGTCTCAAGTAGTAAATTCACAACCTAAGAGCTCAGATTTCTTCCCTCTCGCTTCAGGCTTTGGGGTGGGAGCAGAGATCTAAAAGTCATCCTTGCAGACAGAAGGAAGGGTGAAAGAGAGTGTGGGCCTGAGAAGCTAATAGAGCATTAATGCTTAATACCCACAATGCACAGGGAGGAAGGAGTTGGGCCCAAGACAAGTGATTCTGCTTCGTAACTGCCTAAGTGCTGATGGCCAGAAAATCTTAACTAAGCTAAACGATTCCACAACAAATTCCTACTCTCCATCCCACAGCTGGGTTCTGAATGCTGCTTGACAATCGTTCTCCTAATCACCACATGATTTCCTTTCCATCCCCTCTGCAGCTGTTAGAAACCTCCCCACCTCCACACTAGCCTCCTGTCTCTTCACAGAGGTTGTCATCTCTGGCGCAAGGGAGACACCACAGGCTGCAGCCACCATCAGCATCCTCTCTTCAGCTCAAAACCCATTTCTTCTGCTCTGGCTCGGCTCACCCTTTCCCTTTTTTTCTCTCTGTCCTAATGAAAGTCCCTAAGAATCACCCCTCCACCCCTGGTAATTAATATACATATCTCTTGTTCAGATCCTGGTGCCATCCCTATGACCTGGGCAGCCTTGCTAAAGAAGCACAAACTCTCTTTGGGGCTAGGGAGGTAGCTCAGTGTATAAAGAGTTTTCTACACAATCATAAGGACATGGGTTCAGATCCCCAGCACTAACATAAAAGCTGAGCTTGGTGGCATCCTCATGTAACTTCAGTGGTTGGTACGGAGAGAGAGGTGGATCCTGGGGGCTGTGAAATGGTAAGCTCCAAGTTCAATGACAGACCCAGCGTGTTGAGATGAAGAACAAGAGGGGCTGAGGACCCAGGTTCAATTCCCAACACCCATATGGCAGCTAACAGTTGTCTATACTTCCTGTTCCAGGGGATCCGACATCCTCACACAAAAATACATGCCAGTGAAACACCAATATCCATAAGACACAAATTAATAAATAAAATTTAAAAAGATGAAGAACAGTAGAAAGAAGACACCCAACAGCCGACTATGTCCTCCACACATGCACCCGGGGTGAGCACACAAACATATACAGCACACACACACACACACACACACACACACACACATGCACACCTCTGTTTCATTGTTACTAACACAGGTTAAGAGTACCTATCTCATAAGACAGTTGTAAGGACATCACATCTGTTGTCTTAGTTGTAGGTTTGAAATATTTCCCATTGAAATGTTGAGGCAGGGAAGACCCATCCAAAGCTACTGCCTCTGAATTAACAATTTTATCTTAAATAGCTACCGCACCAATCAATGGGGATTGCACAGTAAACAGAGTAAACAGAAAACAGTGCCTACCTTCGTGGAGTTTGGGGTCAAGCTGGGGAGACCACAAAACAACACGTGAATCGTAAAGCGGATATTTAACTATGCCTGGAAAGACAGGCTATGAAGAAAAAGGAGGGAGTGTACAACAAGTGGGACCTAAGAGTGAGGACACTTCCCTGAAAAAGTGGCAGGCAGAGGTTACAGCATCTGGGGAGTGGTGAGTCATTAGCCTACAGAGGAAGTGAGTCAAGACTCATACATCTGGACTGCACAAAGCAGGGGAAATCAGCAGGGACTGGCCATCCGGAAGCTGTGATGGAGAGATGCCGTCCCATGGATGCAGCGGGAGGCAGTTATAGTCACTCACGGCAGAGTCTGGGGAAACGGAAAGGACGTAGAAGCTAAGAGCTCGCTTAGGACAGGAGAGACAATGTAAGAAGCAGACGTTTGATGGTAACTAGAGGTCACAGCTCCACTTCATCCTGTGGAAGAGAGATAGCGACAAGTTTCTGGGACAGCCAGGGGCTCAACCAGGAAGATCCAAGCAGGACAAGCTCTTCTGTTTCAGAGACAGTAAAGCATCATGGGATGTCTAGGCCTTTTACCCCACAGCCTCTCCCACACCCATGTCTCCTGCAAAACGCATGCGCATCTAGTGAACAAGCTGTGCCACCCGCTCATTGAATTTGTGTTCTCTTTTTCTTTCAATGTTGTCTCTAACTTCCCACCCATCATTTCATCCTCATCCACTCTGACTTTGACCCTTCTTATTTATTTATTTTTCCCCATTGCTGCCCAAGGCAGTCTCAAACTCCTGAGCTCCCGTGATTATCCCGCTTTAACCTCCCAGGTGCCTGGAATCATTGACACAAACCACCATCCCCAGCTTGATTTCTGTCACCTCACTGAAAAGACTCAACCTACAGCCTTCTGCAGCTGATTCCTTTCAGCCCTTTTTCCCACTTGGCCTCTCTGCCTCTCCAACTGGTCATCTGAGAGAGTTTCATCCACTCAGTACACCGGTTTTCTCTGTTTCCCTCACCTTCCCTTTCCCCAGTCCCTGTATGGGTTTCTCTCCCAGTGCACATTCCTGGCATTCCTACAACCCTCTAGGCCAGTGGTTCTCAACCTGTGGGTTGCAACCCCTTTGGGGTGGAATGATTCTTTCACTGAGATTGCACATCAAATATCCTGCATATCAGATGCTGCAATTCGTAACAGTAGCAAAATTACAGTTATAAAGTAGCAACAAAATAATTTTATGGTTGGGGTCACTGAAATATATACAACTGTGTTAAAGGGTCAGAGCATTAGGAAGGTTGAGAACCATTGCCCTAGGCCCTTCTTTGTCTCCCCATGCCTACTTTTAAGTAGTCTCATCCATTCCCATGCATTCTGCTTCCTTCTCTCCCCCAGACTCTACACCAATGTATTCAATACAATTTTTGTGGTTATTACAAACTGAATTGTGTTCCCCAAGAGACTTGTGAGAGTGATTACCTCCCACACCTGTTAGTGGGATCTTATTTGGAAACAGAATCATTATGGATATGATCGGTTTGTCACTCTGAATTAAAGAAGGCCTATAAGTCCAGGGGCTGCAGTACTTAGTACAGGGGCTGCAGTACTTTTGAGAACAGACATATCTGGCAACATGCGACCCACTCCGGTAATGACAGCAGAGATTAGACCAATATGTACACAGCTAACGAACATCAAAGACTGCTGGCAACCTCACGAGCTAAGAGGAAATCATGGGACAGACAGTGTCCAAACACCTCCAGAGGGGACACAGCCCCGCTGACGCAATGGCACCAGACTTCCAGGTACCCAAAACTGAGGAAATGAATTTCTACTGCTCTGAGAAACTGAAGTTCAGCATCATTTGTTTCAGCAGCTCTAAAGACACTGTTTTATGTCTGCACTATCCAGTAAGACAGCTTCTGGGCGCAGGTGACTACTGAGTGGAACTCGTGTGAAAAGGAATTGCATTTCAGGTTTTATATCCTTTTGATTAACTGGAGTTTACACAGCACCACTGAGACTAGTGACCTGCCACATTGGACAGCCTTCAAGTGCCTGCAGGGAGATCTTATTCACACTGGATGTCCTCCCCTCAAAGCTTCCCCTCGTGTCTCAAGAAAGATGTCTATTCCATCAAGTTCTGCAGCTCAAAATTGTAGGCATCTCCTTCACTTCCACCTTCAGCACATCGCCACCCCTTCATAAGTGTGTCCACCATTTCCTATGCCATGGAGCTCTTCCTGAGCTGGCCTTTGTTTCTTCCTCCTGACTCCAAACGTACCCCACTTACTCTCTACACCCGCTCTCGTCATCATTGGCTGTTCTGCTCCCCATTCAACACCTCATCCTAGCCGAACTCCAGTCACCCCTCAGTATTCACAAGGGTTTAAATTTAGGATGCCATGAAGATGCCAAGACCCCTTGTATAAAACCGTGTACCATTTGTAAACATCCTAGACACATCCTTCTGTGTACTTTGGATTGTCTCTAGATTACTCACGGTACCTGATTAAAACTCAATGCTATATAAGTAGTCCTGTGATGCTATATTGCTTAGCAGGTGATAAGGAGTTACAAGTAGATCTGGGCTCTATGTAGGCATGACTTTTCCTAATGGCTTTATCTGTTGTTGGTAGGCTGAAGATACAGAGAGAACACAGAACTCACAGAGGCAAACAGTCAGCTGCACTTATCTTTCCCCTACTTGAAATCTTAAAATACTATAACCTCCTTTGTATACACTTATGCTGCTGCCTGAAGCGACCTCCTGCTGGGGCCTGAAGTGGACATAAAGCCTTCTGTCTTCTCTGTCTCACCATGACCTTTTGAGTGTGCAGTCCATGGCTTCTGTTTGGTAAACAGTCAGTACCCAGTAATTATCTCATGAATAAATGAATGAGTGAATGAATGAATGAATAAATGATCAGAACAAAAAAGTTTCGATTGCTAACAATGGTAACCCATATTGTTGGTTAGGGTAATTGTTAACATTGTTGCTAATTGTGGATACTAGAAAAGATAATAAAAATATAACAAATTAAAATTTTGCTGGGGTAACACCCAAGTGCTACTAATTACAGTTATTTATGTGAGTCTTGCTTTAATGCCTAATTATCACACAGTGCAAGTAAGGATTATGTATATCATTAAATGTGGTGGATCCACTCAGTTGAGTTTTATTTCATTATAATAATGAATTACATATATACTCAGACTATGTAAATAATGGTTGATGCTGTTTGTTCCCAACCTTGAAAAAGTTTAGACTCTTAAATTTGCCTCCTTTCACACCCTACTAAATTTCATTTTCTTATCTTCTTTTGTGACTTAGGTGACAGGAAGAGAGTGGTCAGAAAGGTTAAAAGTCAATTTGGTCAAGGTCTCAATGGTATTAAATGATGACTTTTAAATAAGTCCTTTGGCTCAAGAACTTCTCCCTATTCTTGGTTTATTCCTAACTATGCATGTTCATCCTGAAAGCACATATAGAGACCTCTGGTGGTTCAGAGGTGTGGGGCCTGGCAGTATGGGACAAGAAAGGGGGGTAGTCACAAACAGTACTGTAGAGTCCCTTCCAAAAGCAGGTTACCCACTATAGCCTGGTGCCTTGGCCCGTGTTCTCTCCTCTCCCCCCTACCCCTCCCTTCTCCCCTCCTGCATCCCCCTCCCCCACTCCCTCCCCAACCCTCCCATGCTAGTGAGCCAGTATTGGCACTTAGTCAACTCCCAGCTGAGCCCAGCCTTTGCTCCATCCTCACTGAGGTGCTAGACTTTGGAGTGAAGCCTGTCTCAGACCCTTCAGACCAAACCAGCCCATCTGGCAACCAAATACCACAAGTGTGCTCAGTCAACACCACATGGCACAGAAGAACTGAGCAGCTGAGCCTGCCCTGAATTCCTCGAGCACAAAATCATGAGGCATAAAAATGGCTGCCATTGTAAGCTTGGAATTTGAGAGATAGATAGCCTGCAATAGACCACATGCCACAAGTTCATTTTAAGGCAGTCTCTCAGTTTAGGAGTACCAAACAAATAGCCAACGGCCAAGCTAATAAACTATAGTAATTAAGAAAACAAGCTCCCTTCTCTTTCATATGGCAACCCTTACTCAGAGACAATGACAGCAATTTTGAACCTCAAGCAAATAGCCTATCTGTGGACTTATCTGAAATGTCAGCCATAAAATAGTTTTCCCTTTGCAATTTATAAGCCCTTGACAGAAAGGAGCTCTCTGTGAGAACCCAGCCAGAAAACCCTTGGACAGACATTCTGTTGATAATTTTCCCATTTCCATTTTTAACACACAGAGCCTTTCACTATTCAAGTCAACTTTGAAAGGAAACAAGATAACATCCATTTCCACTGCTGTCCTTCCATGCATTTAATAGCACCCAGATATACAGGTCTGTTTCCCCAGAGTTTTGTGTCATTCAAGCCCACCTTCTGGTGATCCTGAAACACGATGGCATTTTCTGTAGCTCCATCTAGTAGTGCAGACCAGGAATGCTAAGTAGCTAAGGCAGGATGAGAGGAGATTCCTGTAAGTAACCTCCATGGACCAGTTACCCAAACTGCACCGCACAAATGCTGCAGCTGTCTGCCACCGCACCCTGGTATTTCTGACAAGGCAAATCATGGTGATGATGTAAGAGCCTTTTCTTAAACAGTGAAATGCGAGAAGGTGAAAACAGGGCGCTGCTGGAAAACGTTTACCCTTGTTTGGGGAACCATATTCACAAATGACTAGGTTAGCCACAGTTCTGGGTTCCCTCAGCTCTTTGAAAATCCACATTCCTGTAGAGTTCTTCATGAATCCCGGCAGTTGGCTCCCTGGGCTCTTGGTTAGCTCACCCGTCTGCCATGCGAGTCACTGAACAGGGAAAATGACTCAGGACTCTAAAGAAAATCTAATTCATTGAGCTAAACTTTGGAAAAGAACCTAAATGAGTCATTGTATCCTCTCCCACTCTCCCCGTCTCTGGGCAGCACCACACCTTAGATCATTTGAGCCAAGGGAAAGGTAATCACATTTTTTAATAAAGCAGAGAGGAATCACAAACAATATTACTAAATCCCACTTCTATATATAACTACGTCCAAAAGAACCAACAAAGACATTGCAGAGTTGGCCCCAACACACTAAGGACAGAGCCAAGAGCCCAGTGGCTCACAGGGTGCTTTTGTGCAGTTTTTAAAAGATGGCCCTTGGAAGCCAAAGAACTAGAGAAAGTCATTCCCTGGGGAGGCAGCTGTCCAAAGCCAGTGTATGACTTATGAAACAGCAGATTAGTTGGTCAATCCACTCATTCTGCCTTCCCCACCTCACCTTTTGTGCAGAGGAAAAATTGCAGGACCACATGCAGAGACTTGGGAAGAGGGTGATAGAATCATACATGAAACTTCCCCCTCATTTTGTTTTGTTTTTTTTTAACCTATCTTTCCCCCTGTTGTTTGCTATGCCAACACTAGGTAACAATGTTTTTTTTTTTTATTTAATCTGCCACGCCTTACTGATAAACCTACCTGGCAGGTGCTAAGTAGCCATTCCC